CTATATATATATATATATATAATATAATATATACATATCCTGGACCAAGAAGAACCATCAAGATGTCACTTGTTTTACAGATTTAGACTACGCTTCAAATCCTTTTGCTACAATATTTTCTCTTATAAAATTTTAAGTTTATGTTCAAACTCTTTTTTTTAATTTGACTCTCTTAACCAAATGAAAATCAAGATGTGTGTAAGGGAGGATTATGGATTAACTAATAATGTTTTTTTTTTTTGCCTATTTGGCACTTTAATAAAAGTTAGTTTTCTGTAAGGCATAATTTTAACATATGATAGTGTTTGAAATTAATTTTTCGACTTCTCTAAAAATTTTTCTCCTCCTACTCTTTAAGTTTTTCTGCCGGCCTTTTTTCTTTGGCCGGAGTTACGGCGCTTTGTCGGACCTCTGGCCATAAAAATCTCATCTCTGATCTCCAAGTGAGATGATGTACAAGGTGATGAGCTCCATGAAATCAGAGGAGGTGGTGCTTCGTCAGATCTGGCATGTGAAGGTATGAGTTTCTCGGTGATTTTACACGATCTTCGAAGGGTGTTCGCCGGTCATATGGACTCTAGAAACTCATCTACAGACCTGGAGAAGTTAATTGCTCATGGTGTTCATACCATCTTCAACCATTTCTCTCCTGTTTAAGTTGTGGATTTTTACATAGTTTTTTTGTATTTTGTTCTTTATTTTGTTGTAATAACGGCGATGGTTTCCCTACTTCTCTCAATCTGTGATGTTTTCTCCCTCGGCCAGCAGTTTGACTTCCCCATCGATGATAACAATGTATATTTTAGATGTTACTGATCATATTTTGAAGCTATGATTATCAGGAGTAGAGTTTTGTTTTAGAATATATGATTAAAGATAAATTCATGAACTTGCTATAAGAGAAGAGAGAGAGAAAGAGAACTGTATTTATTACGCTTTAGATCCATACTTTCATGATCAAGATATACATACTCTATTACTAATCGAGTGACTCAATCATGTGCGAAAAAATACTTTTAATCAACGCTTTAGAACGTTCTATGTAGATAAAAGTCATGTAGCTACACTTCTATTTTGTCTGATGAAAATAGTCATTACATTTTCATGTTGAGACAACTTCGAGGAGAAAATACATAAACTAGTAAATATAACAAAGGTATCTGAAAGATATGTTGTATGAAGAAATTTAATCAAAAGTTATGAAAAAAATACAAGCTAAGAACATAAAATAATATTTAACATTCTCACTCAATTTTATTTAATCAGCTCTATATACAGAGCTTACTTGACACATCACACTGAATTCATCATGCATATATTGCGGCCTCGTTCGTTTCGATGATTCGAGTTTAGAATTTGAGTTGAGATGTGATTGTATGTGAGAGCTTTTTACTGTAGCAAAAAAGTTAGATGTGATTGTTTGTGAGAGCTTTTTACTGTAGCAAAACTCGAATTCTAAACTCGAATCAGCGAAAACACATCACACTGAATTCATCATGCATATATTGCATATCCATATGAACATACATACGTAAACAATCAGCTCTACATAGTGTAGAGCATATTTTAAGCTCTCAAACACACCTCAAATCATTGTTGTGTATATCATGGTAATAACAGTCAGTGAAACCAACGTATATATATTACCATTATACACATTGATTTAAATTTATTACAATAAACAGAAAACCAAGACATTTTAGAGACGTCATTTTATTTACTTATTTTACGTTGGTGTGCACATCTTAAAGTGATAAGTGAAACCCAATAGAATCCAGGAGATCACCACTGCTTCCCTTGAATCCAACAATTAAGCCATTTGCAATTGGGAAGCTGAAAGGTGTGCCTTGTTCAACTCCATACGGTCCGAGGGTTCTCTTGTTTGTCTTGATTGTTAATGAGCGTACAACAACAGGGTGCCCAGGCAAACTACCAGTGTACCCACTCACACTCACTATGAACTCTTGTGGAAATTGTAGTACAATCTGTAACAATATATATATATAGATAAATATATATATATTGAAATTAATAAAATGAAAAAAATTAAAGATAAACTAACCTTCTCTTTTGTGTAGGCACCAGGAACAATATGTTTGGGCCCTGGAAAATGCGTACCATTCACATCATAGATCACACTCAAGGACCCAATAGCATCCTTATGTGAAAGGTCAATTTCTCGAATTCCAGTGTAGGAGCCATCATCCCAACCAGTACCCCCAGGCCCTCCCCAATTTCCTACTACTATCGTCTGGCTTTTTGCCGTACTAGTATGGAGATTGTTTGTGCCCGCCTACAAAATATTTTTAAAAACATAATAAATCATCATATATATATATATACATGTATATTATCCTCATATATATGTGTACATGTGCAATATGCATAAAATCTTTCAGATGTCTAGCATTGATAACAAAGATTCTGAAAAGTCAAACTAATTTCGTTTTTTTTTCTCAAACATGAAAACTTAAAATAGTACTTATTTTATTTACTGATCGTTTGTAATGGAAAACAGATAACCGAAGCCAGGTTGTCGCTTTAATTTGAACTTTGTGTACTTTTTTTTTAAGTAAATGAAACATGATAAAACTGAAAGGAAAAAAAAAAGGTTCACCTTGAAAGGTCATATGTTTAATTTACAGTACTATTTTAACTTATATATATCTTAAAATATATATTTATTTAATTTTATATGTATTAAAATATATAACACATGCATTATCATATCTACAGGAGCTCACCATAATATGTGCCCCGGGAACAAGTCTTTTGAGACTCCTACGAAGAAGAATGTGGATTTAGATATGGAGAAGTGTGTGCGTTTACTTGGCTGACTTAGCTCAATATATAGAGCTAGACGTAGAAGCTAATAGTTTATTTGGAATATAGTATTGCATGCTTATGGTTTAAGGTTTAGGCAAATGGATCGTTAAGAATGATTTTAAAGAACACTTATAATCCAAGTAAACTTAATTAATTTACTATTTCTTTCGCTTTATTTATCACATTAGTAATTTTGATCATTATTTTCATTTAAATCAAGAACGAGAGAGAATAATTAATATCAAGAACAACCAACACATCTCAACTAAGTTGACACATGTTAGTTGAATCATCTTCTACCAAATCCTCAACCCCAATTTATTATTAAAAAAAAAAAAAAGAGAAGAAGCGTACAAAACCCACCAATGGCAATACATGGATTAGATAAACCAATTTAAAAGAGCGAAGTACATTACGACTATGTAGCATAAGTAAATTTATTATGATCTATATAAATAGTACTAGTACATTAGGACTTAAAAATACTTTTTTTCTTTTTTGAATTGGGGTAGAGGAATTTGAACTCATGATTTGATGTCAGACAGAAGTGTAGATTTACCTGTAGGCTACGCTTGCAAAAACTTAGAAGACACTTTAACGCACAATAACAACAACATTAACAATGGTACATGATTATTATTAAAGAAAGGCATTTATTTATGTTCATTATTAGAAGGAAAAAATAAATAAAAAAATAAAAATAAAAAAGAACTTTTGTGGCGTGGTTATCTAGACTACTTAGGGGCTGTTCTTTTGTCCTTTTTGAGTTAGGTGACTTGAGTGTAGATTTTGAGTTGAGTTTGAATTATAACTTGAGTTGAAGTTGTAACTAAAGTTTGTATTTGGTTGTGTACATTTGAGTTATGGTTTGAGATAAGAATCTTTTTGAGTTTGTGTTTGAGTGAGTCAAAAATTAAATTTACATTTAGATAGTATTTTAATAAAAACTCAATGTTGATGGACAATTTTAATAGGGTATATGGGTGAGGTTTTATTCGTCTTTTCGTTGTCAACGCATCGAAAAAAAATCATCTCAATCAGAATTAAAACAAAAAGTTATAGCATTTTTAAGAATAAAAAAATAATGTTCATTAATTTGAGTTTGAGTTTCTGAACTCGAGTTGAAGGGGAAACTAAAACTCAAGTTTTAGTCCCAAATTCGAGTTCAAACTCGAGTTTAAACTTAAAAAAACATGAACTTAAATAAAGTTGTAACTCGAGTTATTTTTTTTTTTAGTTTTTAACTCAAAAAAAGAGCTGCCGAACAACCCGATTTTTGAATAAAAAAATAGATAAGAGTAGAAGGGCCTGCAAAAACGGAAGCCGACCGGAAACAGCAATTATGAATAATATATAATATTTACATCATATTATAGTCTTATATATGTATGGACTTGTTTATGGTTCTACCTGTGGAACTAAGCTGCAATGTAATATAAAAAAGTGAGATAATACTCCTATTTATTTCATATAACGCTAATGTTAAAAGATGTAACACCAAGAAAAAGTAATTATCCATAGTTTGTAACACCTTTCTAACGTTAATAATAAATTGAACAAATGTCATGTTATATTTTCCACCTCTATATGTTACAAAACAGTATAGTGCTACCTGCAGGACAATAGACATATATATACGTATACACGAACAGTAGAGAAAGAGTTGTGTTATAAGCGAAATTTTCTCTTCGTTATTTTCACAGTTGTAATAAGACATGACCCCCTAACTTTCATGAACTCGGTACTTGAGTACGAAATAGCCATCGGTTAATATTTGGTGTCTCGAAAACAAAATACCAACATGGTTCAGCTATCAATTCGAACAATCCTCCATTTGAAGACTGTCACTTTGATTGTGAAGTCATTAATGTTCAATCTGAATTTTATTTTAAGATTCATCTTGGCAAAAGCCGCAAATTTCTTTGGTGGTTGCAAGACTATAGGGCATTTGATTTGAAGAATTTTGGTATCCCAATTCTCAACTGGGATCACGTGTTCATGTGGTAGATAAGGGCTGCCAAGATTATTTTGATGTCCTACAGGTATCATTTGTTAGGGAAAAGCACAAAACTATATTCACGAAAAATATACTGAAACAAAAATAATATAAAAATATATAAGACAAAGATTTAGGTGGTTTGAAAAAAAATTTTACATCCACAAAAAAGAGAAAAAAACTTCACTAATAGTTTCAGAATACACACTCAATAAACTTTTGCACTTTCTCTCTCTACCCAAAACTCTTACACCCTTACATGTCTCTCTCCCCACTTTTTTCTCTCTCTCTCAAAAGGAGGCACTCTGTGCTCTGTACTTTTCTCTGAGTACACACATAAAGAATTACACAAAATACTTATTTATAGACTCTTAATAAACTATAAAATAACCCTTGCTCAAAAATTGAAAACAGTAACTTACTCAAAACCGCAAAATAGTAACTTTTTCAAAACCAATTTGAGTCACTCAAATTCTCTCACCTCACTCAATTGGGTACTACAAGAATTTGAATTTTTTGTTTCCAAAAATTTGGTAGCCAAAAGCCCTATTTTTAATAGCAAAATGTTTTTATTACCAAAAAATTTTGATAGCATAAAGTATTAGTTACTAAAATTTTGGTAACAAATAGTTTTTGCAACCAAAAAATTTGTTAGTAACAAAATGTATTTGGTAGCAAAATGTATGATATTTAGGAACCATATATTTCGGTAGCAAAAGGCTTTTGATAGCAAAAAGTGTGAGATTTAGGACCCTAAAATTTTGGTAGCAAAATATATTTGGTAGCAAAAAGTATGTGATTCAGTCACCAAATATTTGGTAACAACAAGTATTTGGTAACAAAAGCCATAAGATTTAGGGACTAAATATTTGGTATCAAATTGTATTTGGTAGTGAAATGTATGAGATTTAGTGACCAAATGTTCAGTAGCAAAAGGTATTTCGTTGTGAAAAATATGATATTTAAGGACCAAATTTTTGGTAGCAAAATGCATTTGGTAACGAAAAGAATAAGAATCAGGTACTAAATATTTAGTAACGAATAACTAATTTGTTGCTACCAAATTTTTTTGGTCAATAAAACTGAGACAGATTTATATACCTGTATTTTCTGAAAAATATATATATAAATAAAATACAAAATATTAATTTAAAAATCTCTAAATATTTTAATACATATTAGAATCCAAACAAAATACTAAAATAATCATACTTAAGCAAACTCAAACACTTATGCAAATATTGTACTAGTAAAATCTTAATATTACAAAAATTAAACGCTCTAACAAACTGAGGCCGGTGGTGGTGGTGGCGGTGGCGAAGGATCTTCTCTTCTTGGGACGGAAGGTCCAAGATGATCTGATAACGGATTTATCTGCTGAAGTAGCTTTTGAATAAGCTCATGTTGTTGCTTCGTTAGAATTTCCATGTCTGACATACGACATTTGTTTTCCTTAACTTCATTTTGAAGCTTTTCACATCCTGACCCTCTAGATTTGCGAGCTTTTGACACTTGTCTTAGCACAGGATCTATGCCACGCTTGAAACCATATTTTTCATACCTCTCACTTGACAAAACTTGAGAGTAAATTTCTTCCTCTACATCAGAGTCAAGTTTTGACCCCTCTGGTACTTCACTTAAACGACCATCGTGAGTCTTGATCATTTGTTCCTGCATTAGGCGATGTGTTATATACTTTCAAGTTAGAGTAAAAAAAACAAAATCAAACGAAATGATAAGTGTTTAGTAATTCTTACATAATCTTCCTTTGCTCTCTCAGTTGTTCATCTCTGTGATTCGCTCCAATGAGTATTCTTGAAGACCTCAAAGTACCCGTCCAAAGCATTTAAGTCATAACTCGATGTGTGTTCTACATAATTCACGGTAAAATCTCTAACAAAAATATGACGCTCAACAATATCTATATGATGGAAAAAGCAATTCAAACATTTTTTGCATGAACAACAATACTTCCATCTGCATCTAGGTGATTACGTGCTTGTTCAATAAATCTTCTCACTCCACTCATATATGTCTCCACTCATATATGTCTCTGAAAGTCAGTTCGTGACATAAATCCAACTCTTATCCATAAGTATCCTAAACATTACAAATTGATTAATCAAAACAAATTAACTATTGATATGAGTGTCGTTGGTGGCATAATTATTCTTGTCAAGACATGAACCACAATACATCAAACAAAAACTTGTCAAGACAGAAGACAAGTTTGAAAAGTTGTCTAAACAAATATGCAATCGATCAGGAAACTCAAGAGAATGTTATTTTCTTCAATGGGCATATGATTCTGATGTTCACATTATATAATCCGATTAAGTTTTATAAAATTTATTCCCGAACGGTTGAATATTTATATATGGCTCTTATATGACCTGAAGTTCCATAGTCTAAGCAACCGAGTATGTATCCATCTTCTATTCGTTTTTTCTTTCAAAATTCACGTGTAGAAAACAAGTGTATTGGGGCATATAATTGAACCATGTTTATACAATGTAAGGAACTTATTCTTCTTGAGTTGCTAATTGTACAGATCAAAGCAATCGCTGTAATTGTTAATTTATTTGTACCTCCTTATTACCAAACGGTCTAGGCAGATTGCTAGAAAACTAAACACCCTAAACCATGAACTTAGCAAGGCAGATTGCTACCCTAATCTAACTCTGCTTCCACGAAGAAAAGAAAAAAACACGAGTGGCTCAGTGAACTTAGTTTATCCACAATCTAAAAGACTCCCAACATTCCCTATCTCCATTATCTGTAATTACAGTCTTCATACATAAACCCTAATTCAGAACCAGAAATTAGCGAAATCATTGTTTTTGAAATCGCAACCACATTCAACATAACGAAGAGAGAGAGAGAGAGAGAGAACTGACCGGAAAGAAGGACGAGGTGTTGACCGGCGTCGGCGACGGTGAGAATCAGCGGCTAGAGAGAGATGGAGCGACAGAGAGATCTAGAGCTAGAGAAAATCGGCGACGGCTAGAGGAGTGGAAGGCCGCGGAAGAAGAACGGAGCAAACACTGAAGAAGATGGCGAAGAAGGGGAAGAAGGGCGTGGGTTAAACGCGTGCGTGTGTTTTACAGGGGAAGAGGAGTGACGGGTGGAGAAATGGTGGAGCATAGGGATTTTGAGCTCACGCGTGGGTGTGTTTTGAATTTTTAGGGAGGGTGGGTTAAAATGTTTTTCGCAGAAAAATTGTGTTATTTTTTTGTTACCAATTGGTGGCAAATATTTATGTTTTTTGATACCAAATATTATTTTAGTAGCTGGAAGTATATTTTTTGTTATTAAATTTAATTTTGGTACTAAAAAGATATATACTAAAAAATTAAAAAAATACATTTTGATGCTAAAAATTATTTTAAACTCATTGTTCTAATAACGTTATAACAAAAAAAACATAGTTTTGAAGTTAAAATATATTATTTTATGTAAAAAAAATAATTAAATAGTAAGATCATATACTACTATATGTGAAACATATACTTAATTAACAAGATTATATATATACATATATATATATATATAACATGAACATGTCACTTATTACACTTATACAAAATAACTAAATTATCAAATACATATTAATCAAAATATACAGGATGATTGTTAAACTTAATTTATGACATATTCATGGAAAACAAAAACAAAAAAAAAGTAAAAAAATATAAGTTTTAAAGTTTTTATACGATTTGCTACTAAACACAACTTTTGGTAGCAAAAAACGCCTTTTTTGCCACCAAAATATGAATTTGGTAGCAGAATCATGTTTTCTGCTACTAAAATTTGGTACCAGAAAAATATGTTTGTTGTTACCGAACATTATTTTGGTAGTAAAAAATATAATTTTTGTTACCAAATTTGAATTTGGTACTAGAAAGGCATAAATTTAAAACTAAAAAAATATACTTTAATGACAAAAATTATTCTAAAATTATTGTTCTAGTAACATTATAACAAAAAATATAGTTTTGAAATTGAAATACATTATTCTATGTTAAAAAGTAATCAAACAGTAAGATGATATACTACTTTATGTAGAACATTTATTTAATTAAGAAGATCGTATATATATAACATGAACATGTCTCTTGTTACACCTACACAAAACAATTAAATTATCAAATACTTGTTATACAAAATATACTAGGATGATTGTTAAACTTAATTTAGGACATATTCATGGAAAACTAAAACAAAAATAAAATAAAAGCACAAAATATAAGCTTTAAAGTTTTTATATGATTTGCTACCAAACACAACTTTTGGTTGCAAAAGATGCCTTTTTACCACCAAAATATGAATTTGGTAGCATATTCATGTTTTCTGCTACAAAATTTTGGTACCAGAAAAATATGTTTTTTGTTACCAAACATTATTTTGGTAACCAAAATTATATTTTTTGCTACCAAATTTGAATTTGGTACCAGAAAGACATATATTAAAAATTAAAAAAATACACTTTAATGACAAAAATTATTTTAGAATAATTATTCTAGTAACATTATAACAAAGAATATAGTTTTGAAATTGAAATACATTTTTCTATATTAAAAAGTAATCAAATAGCAAGACTATATACTAGTCTATGTGGAACATATACTTAATTAACAATAACACATATACATATACATGAACATGTCTCTTGTTACACCTATACAAAATAAATAAATTATCAATTATTTGTACTAGAATGATTGTTAAAACTTAATATATGACATATTCATGGAAAACTAAAAAAAAAAAAAAAACACAATACAAGCACAAAATATAAATTTTAAAGTTTTTATATGATTTGCTACCAAACAAACCTTTTTGGTAGCTAAAAACAACTTTTTGCAACCAAAATATGAATTTGGTAGTAAAATTTTCTTCTCTGCTACCAAAATTTAGTAGCAAAAAATTATGTTTTTCGGTAGTAAAAACTTCATTTTTCGCTATCAAAGTTTGGTGGCAGATAGCTATATTTTATTTCCAACACTTGGTAGCAAATGTTATTTATTTTGCTACTAAAAATAATTCGGTAGCAAATACCTTGGGCAGGAAAAACTTTGCTTCCTGTCAACATTTTGTTACCAAAACATGTTTAGTAGCAAAAAACTAATATTTTGCTACTAGATTTTGGTGGCAAAATCTTTTGCTTATGTTACCAAATTTTGTTTTGGTAAAAAAACTATTGGCAGGAATCAAATTTGATTTCCCGCCATGTTATTTGTTACCAAATTATATTTGGTAGCGGATTGTGTTGTTTTTGCTACCAAATTTGGTAACTCTTGATAATTTCAGCTACCAAAGTTTGGTAGCAAAACGTGTGTTTTTTGCCACCAAAAATTTTTTGGTATCAAAAAGTTTGATCTCTTAAAGTGACTATTCTTGTAGTGTGTCCAATCTAGAGAGTCATCTTAGTACCGACGATACAAACTTCAACAAGAATAAATGAATAAATTTAAAACTCGACATGAGAAACTGTCTTCTTCTTCAAAGCATCTTCACTGCCACAAGTCTTCACCGTCTTGTCTTTATTGTCTTCAACTATTATCAACATCTTGTTGCACTCTTTTACCCATGTAACTTCTTTCATAACAGAAGAAGACCCTTCTTCATGACATGGTTCTTCATAGCTCCACCTACAACTGTTGTCCCAATAAGCTTATACATGTTTTTCACATTTTTACCCTTTATGGCTACTAAAATCACCTCTCTTGACATGCATAAAACCACCATTCGCATAGTACTCACAACTTAAAGTGTCCAAAGTTCTCAAAGAAATCAAACTTCTCCTTAGTTTAGAAACATGCCTAACATTTTTCAATGTCCTCACAACTCCGTCAAACATCTTCACCTTCACAGTACCTATTCCAACAGTTTTAGCACTAGAATCATTAACCATCAACAAAGTACCGGCATCACAAGGCTTATAAGAATCAAACCACTCTTTATGTGGCCACATATGAAATGAGCATCTAGAATGCAAGATTCAAATGTCAGAAATATTTTCATCAGCAATAACAGAATAAACATCATCTTCACTATTCTACATGTCTTCAACATTGTAGGCCATGTCCACAGGTACCTCGACCCCTAATTCCTTCCATAATTTTGTTTAAATCTCAAAAACTTGCAGTGTAATTTTACCATAACAAAGACGTAGAGTTAGTGGCTATCATTTTAGGTTAGTCTAAATATAAAGATGTATCAATCTATTCCACATCTATTTGTATTAGGTTTCTTATGACACAATGTTATTTTAATGTCACATAAAATCTCTATCATAGGCATCAACTAATTTATAAATTAGAAAGGTCTTACTTGTAGATGGTGTCGGAGCCAATACGGTGAGCATATGTGGTAGATGTCAGGTGAATCTCTCTGATATTACTTTGTAACGACCCAATCTGAGAAGCCGTTATTACTTGATTCTCATAGCGTAAACATGATACATCTTAAAAGAATGTATTAAGAGAAATTTTACAATAATTTTTTTTTTCAAAAGCATTAAGGTTAAAGTACATAGTTAAAAGTTTGAACCTCAAAATTAAGAACTATTTATTAATAATTACTGGCTTTAATCCCACCACAAAACATCTTACATTTAGGCTGGCCATATATCTAAATCAAACCAGCATTATAAAACCAAAATTTAACATTCAACA